GTTCGTATGGTATTCACCATTAGCAGTGAGCCAACAGAATGTTGGTTCATGTATGACTCTGCATCCCCCGGTGAGTGTGCCGTGACCCAGTGTGATCCAATGTGATATATCACAAACAGAACTGCCCGGTAGACCGTAGGCAGAGAGAGAGAAGAGGGCATATTGTCACAGAACTATTGACTAAGAGCGTAAGCACGTGAAGTAGAAGAAGAAATAAGATGAGCGAAGAAACGAAAAATGAAAGCCTTAGGACAATTAGGCAAAGAGACAGACAAACCAGGATGACACAAAACAGTGTCCTCTTATTCTTTGTTTCACAGTACTATTATTTCTTTCAGTGTTTTACAAAAAAAATACACTAAATCAAAGGATAAAAATAGAAAACAAAGACACATTGAAATCATTCAGTTTCTCAGTTTTCTTAACGCCGCCTCCACTGTGCCATAGGCTTTCTTTCCCTGTAAGGTTTGGTTTCCTCCTCCTTTTCTTTACCTCTTCGCCTTTTGGTTGCGTGCAAGTGGGTCCTTGTGACACACGGGGATGAGGGCAGCCAGCGCTCAACCTGTCATCCACGTGGATGGCCTTGTACATAAGAGGTGATGAACAAGTGAGGCTCTCCATCCTTACTTCTTTTCCTTTTCTTGTTTTGTCTTTTTCCGCCTTTGCGCTCCGTTTCACAGTGTCTGTGGGATGTGTCATTTGCTTTGTTTGACTGATAGGCTTTCTTTCCCTGTCAGGTTTGGTTTCCTCCTCCTTTTCTTTACCTCTTTGCCTTTTGGTTGTGTGCAAGTGGGTCCTTGTGACACACGGGGATGGGGGCAGCCAGCGCTCAACCTGTCATCCACGTGGCTGGCCTTATACGTAAGAGGTAATGAACAAGTGGGGCTCTCCTTCCTTACTTCTTTTCCTTTTCTTGTTTTGTTGTTTTCCACCTTTGCGCTCCGATTCACAGTGTGGAGAGCCCCACTTGTTCATCACCTCTTACGTACAAGGCCAGCCATGTGGATGACATATTGTCACACTGTGAATCGGAGCACAAAGGCGGAAAAANCTTTTCTTTACCTCTTTGCCTTTTGGTTGTGTGCAAGTGGGTCCTTGTGACACACGGGGATGGGGGCAGCCAGCGCTCAACCTGTCATCCACGTGGCTGGCCTTATACGTAAGAGGTAATGAACAAGTGGGGCTCTCCTTCCTTACTTCTTTTCCTTTTCTTGTTTTGTTGTTTTCCACCTTTGCGCTCCGATTCACAGTGTGGAGAGCCCCACTTGTTCATCACCTCTTACGTACAAGGCCAGCCATGTGGATGACATATTGTCACACTGTGAATCGGAGCACAAAGGCGGAAAAAGACAAAACAAGAAAAGGAAAAGAAGTAAGGAAGGAGAGCCCCACTTGTTCATCACCTCTTACGTACAAGGCCAGCCACGTGGATGACAAGTTGAGCGCTGGTTGCCCCCATCCCTATGTGTCACAAGGACCCGCTTGCACGCAACCAAAAGGCAAAGAGGTAAAGAAAAGGAGGAAAGCATATCAGTCAAACAAAGCAAATGACACATCCCACATATAATCCAGTTGCCACAAAGCAAATAAAACATCCCACAGATCAACATATTTTTTCTTTTTTCTTTTTTTCTTTTTTTCTTATTTTTTTCTTTAACTCCATATCTGTCGGTAGTGTCGAAGGCTTTATCTGTCCCCACCTCGGCAGATAGGACAGCTACGGTGAGGATGATGTGGATGTTCATAAGGATACCCAAGGAGAGTTGCGCTAGCACAACATTCATCAGGACGGCTAGCACGAACCATCCCATAAAAACAGTCTTGACGCAGGACATGTTGTCCATATGTCAAAAAAGCAGCAGGGCGTTCATCACAGTGCGGCATCATGCGGTTCTGATAGCGTCCTTGGGCACAAAAGGAACAACATATATCTGGGTGATAGGGATGTGTACAATGAGGAAATGTTGGCCACCCTTCAGTACAAACGGCAGCAGTCGCAATAGATTGATAATGGCTATGGCATAGATGATGCATTCCAAAGCCAAGGCGCACCGCGTCTCTGTCCCGACAGGTGCCACACGAAAGTCAATCAATAATCCAGAATAAAGTATGATTCAAAAATGCACACAAAAATTCATTTACGTTGAAAATAGCCTGACTCATCGTCCCACCATCCCACAGTTCCCATTGGGCAGCTGCACGAATGAGTGTCATATAAAGCCCGGGTTTGTGTAAAATAAAGGCAAAAATATGAGGATGGCTATTGAGGTCATCGCCTGGCGTCGCATGATACATAAGAAGGTGGCGGTCGTGGAACGCTAACTGTAAGACATTTACATTAAAGCCTCCTGAGGTAGTATAGTTATTGCCTTCAGGAGGTGGGACTATTATGATCATACAACACTTGTTTTCAAAAGCGTCAAGTTGATAAGCAATCGTAACAAATTTGACGTTGATAAGCGTGTAGGCAGACATTTGAGGTTGTCAAACCACAAATATTTGGTAGGTCTGCCCACAGATCCAAATTGGTCACCACAGGAAAGCCAGATCTAATTTTGCAAGTTCGGCGTGTAAAAGGCGAACGTCGGCGACGTGGCATAGCAGGCTGCCGTTAAGACAAAGAACCCCGCAGATTAGCATCAACACGACGTCGAGAAGGAGGGGGACTGGGAGGAGGAGAGAATGAACGAGCCTGCCGACGTCCCAATATGGACAACGAAGATAAGGGCTCAGCCGGCGCGGGGAAGAAGAAGAAGAAGAAGAAGAAGAAGAAGAAGAAGAAGAAGAAGAGGATGCAGGCAATGAGGGAGGAGAAGGAGAGGGACGGGGAGAGGGAGAGGAAGGCAGAGGGGAAGCGG